GTCTATTAAATTAAAGATCTCTGAATATCATTTTAAAGTGAAGGATTCAAGCTGTTTAAAAGAAAAATCATCGCCCTACAATAATTTCTGACTAAGTAATAATTTTCCAAACTTCAGCAATTTCCAGCAAACATTTCATGATGCCATAATTCATTGAAGTAGTATATATTCTATATATTATACACATATATACATATATCGTTCTAATTCAACAGTATAGTAAAGTTGCTTTATAAAATGCTTGTTAAACTCTACACGTTGAACCTATAATTTCATCTCAACAACGATACACTCTGTTTCATTCATGGGAGTTTAAGTACTAAAATAATAAGTGCCCTTAAACCTTCTTTTATATTGTCTTACGTCATACAAATTATATACATATACACGTATGTGTTGTATGTATGTATGTATGTATATATATATACATATATATGTGCCTCTGTATCTTAACACCTACTTATTATATATTTATATAATCTACTATGTACAATTATGTACAATTTATTATCGATAAAAATATACAAATTGGATATGTATAGATATTAGTATGTGTACATCATCCGTAAACGCAAATGATTAACTGTAAAAAATGTTTGATAAAAAAAAAATGCGTACGCTGCGAATTCTGATTACAAATTAAATAAAACATTGCGAGATGCGTGTGTATTATAATCGCGAATTAGACATTGGATTTTTTTATCGATTAAATTCCGTATGTTCTCAGATTTGAATAAAAATATCCGCAGTCTAAATTACAATCCGATCGATGTTGATTAAAAATCGAGCCTTCTATAAGCAGTTAAGTGACGAAGCATCGCTACGTTTGTGTACGATTAGAAATTGAAGGGAGTGTCTCCCATGCGAGAGCAATGATTCCGCAGTTGTTAATTTGATTCTTTAATTAATATGTATCTATATATATATATATATATGTATATATGTACACACACGTATCTTCAATCGAATAGTTTACGAAAGGGGTAGCAGTATTTTTCGAACAGAATCATTTGGTATAAATTTATAAATCGGTGATTCGTTTTAAAATGGAAAAATTTCTCGAAAAATAACAAAAAACGTCTTCTATGAAAGAAGCCGGTATTTATATATATATATATATATTTTTTCATCTTTTCTCTTCTGTACATATATACCTTCTCGTACAAGTTTTCTATTAAACGTTTATATAAAATATTGCACTGACGACGTATTTTTCGAGAAATGAAAAGCGTGTCCTCCGCTCGTTTGTTCGTTTAAAAGAAAACGGAAAGATTGTCATGGATAAAAGTTATAAAAATGAGATGTTACTTTTAAATTATTCCCATGTATAAACTAATATCGTACGATCAGAGGAAACCAAGCGAATATAATTATGTATTCAATTAATTAATCACGCGCGCACACACACACACACTCGCTCATACATCCACACACGCTGTCGTACCTCCACAATAAGTTCAACATAGTACCGATTCACCTTTTTCCTTTTCTTTTCTCTTGCACGGCAAGTACGATTCTGTTAAAGGTTGTCACGCCCCGCGAAGTCCTCTCATTAACAATTAACGTTATTACAAAGATTAGACTCAAGGCAGCGTGATCTCTCACATTAGTTTTTCTTTTTTTTATACCTCTAGGTATGTAATAATAGATACAATTTGTTTCTCGTCGTACAGTTTCGAACATCTCTCGTGGAAACGGGCAATGGAATTATAACGAACATTAGTATGAAACTTCCCGAGTTATCGAATTAGAATGCCAAAGCTGAAACGAACAAAATTATTCTAAGTATTCTCCGAATGAAACGAACATAAGTAATTGACGAATTATGCGTCCTCTGTAAACGAGTTTCATAGAGGAGACGATTCTAAGTGAAAACGATTAGACTGACAGCGTTTCCTATTTCCTGTTCCCAGAAGGGCGGTGTTCGCCAATTAAACCGGGTGCGTGGACAACGTTTGCAACGGTACAGGGGTGGTGGGCGTCGCGGGCGTCGTTATTACGGGAACAGGCGTCGCGGTTATCTGCTGATGGGTTTGCCTCGGCGGCGAAAGGAGTTCTTGTCTGTCTCTCTCCCTTTCTCGGCCTGGACGCCACGCTTCCAATAACGCCTCGACTCTTTCCTCGGTGGGTCCCCAACGAGCAGTGCCAGCTGCATTCTGTAGCCACACGACCAACGTCCCGTGTGCGGCCCTAATATTCACTTCACCCCTGTAAACAACGAATATTATTTAATATACGATTCTACCTATCGGAGTTAACACTAAATCTATTGGTTGCTTTTTTATGCTAATATATTAGACAGGAGGAGTCTCGTAACATGACGAATTCGAATATCTCGAAAATAATTTTGAACTGATGCATTTTTTCCTGTCACCAATAGGAGCCAAGTTATTCAGGTGGCCTGTTTTAAGTACCTCACCCTATATAATAATAAGATCTATATTATTTACAGTTAAGCGTAATTTAGTGTTGGCATTCATTTTTCAGCTCGATCCTAGTTTAAATAATATATACCAAATGTCTCAATTTTTATATACATTGTAATTTCTCTGACTTAAGAAATTACAAAAAATAGGTAGAAGTAGTGTAGAAATTGAGACACTGATCTTAGAAGAATTTGAAAACGTTTACGTGTAGTATTGAAATAGAGATACATACTTGGGTAATATGTGCTGAAACCCGTGTCTGTACTCATGTTCCATAGCAGGCACTACAACTTGTTTGCGCTTGAAGTGGCTGCTCTCTAGTTTAATGAGAGCGTTCGGCGCCGGGTCCCTCCATTCGGGCAGAAACACAACAAACGACAGGGGCTCAGCCGAATCAGCTAAAAGCCGTTCGAAATGATTCACCATGGCTTCCATAAGTTCTTCGCAATAAGGAGGATTCGCTTGAAACGAGCCGCTAACAGGCCTGAAGTCCAAGAAAGGACCTCGCGATCCAAAATATGAATCCGTATCAGCGAACGCTGAACAGTATTGTCTGAAGTAGCAGTTCAACGGCGACCCGAAGCATTCGAACGTGACGCCGAACGATCGCTGAAGGCATTCGAAGACCGTCACGGGTAAAGCCATCTGCGTAGCCTGACCCTCGATCCCGAGGTACGTTTGATAACGCTTCAACATGCACCAAACGCGCGGTAGGAACATCTCGAACTTCTTATCATCGAAGCAATTGTATCTATACAGGTGCTCCAGTTTTGCGAGGTGCATATTGTTGACGCACACCGTGTCGCCATGAAAGCGCAGCATCGTCTGTTCGCGTTCCGGGAGATAGTCGATCTGGGGAAGCCTAGGAGTCGGAAGAGAGAATTGCACCGGGTAGCACCAAACCTTCCTCTGCGCACTGGCAGGACCTCCTAACGGTATCACGTTCCCCAAACCGTTGTCTTTCAATATTTGATTGTTCTTATCTTTCACCTTCTTCGCGTACTCCGTCGACAAGTGGTAGATCTTCAGGCAGATACCCTCGACGCTCGCTTTCACGGTCTCCGTGAGATGCGGCTGACACTGCCGCTTGAGATGCGCGAGGCGGTCCTGGAAATCGTCGAACGTCGCGCCGACGGTTCTTCTAAGCCACTGAAACGTGTCCTCGGCATTCCACTTGACGACCTTCCGGCTCTCGGAAGAAGCTGCTCTAGATTCTATCATTTTCTTCGCTGCCTCCGCGTATCTCGACAATTGTTTCCTAGCGTCTCCCGTGAACTTCGGCCGGACCAGTTTGATGGGTATGTCGTTCATTATCTCGCGGTACATCGACATAGAGATTTCGGGGAAGCACTGGCTCGGGAGGAGAGGGTCCGAGCCGCAGTCTATCACCTTCCTCTCCATCAACCATCTGTTGAAGGAATCTTTCGGCGCGTCTATCGATTCGCGCGTGTGGCAGAGTTCTTGGTAACATTGTCGAAGTTTAGCGAGGAGAACGCAACGCAACGCTTCTGCTTCCGGGTGAACGTGTGGCAGATTCGCCGGGGCTCTCTCGTATATTATCACGTTCGTCGGTATCTCCAAATCCCACGGACCTCTGCGATCAAATTGGGAACACGTCAAATCTCGAGGAAATAATATTGTCTAACAAGGGGAGGGAAAGTCCCCTTATCCAGTACGGTACTGGATTCTACAGACATTCGATAAAAAAACCATGTACAGAAACACGTAATACTTCATTTTCCTTGAAAATCATAATTTTTTGCAAAAGCCGCTACTTTTTGGGAACTGTACGTGATAGAGCAATTCTGTTTTCGGGTTTGTCGTTGACATGAGAAACTCTATAAGGATTACGTAGTGCAGGCATGGGCAAAAGTGACTTTCGTCAGCCACGTCTTGAGCGCGAGCTTAGATAGGAACGCCTGACGCTATGTAACATACAGGCGCGTAAATACTTTATGAAAATTGGCGAAAGCGACTAATGTGGGGAAGAATAAATTGCCCATGCCTGACGTAGTGGATATTGCAACAAGCAAGTTTTTTTTAATTGGTCTCTGTTGTAAACGTACGCCAATACGAATTTCTTCGCGGGTGGTACCACGCTGTCCTCAGATGCTCTTCGTTTCAGAGTTCCTCCAGGAGGTATCGCTCCGTTACCAGCAACAGGCGGCACGCCGCAAATCCCGAGAGGATCCGTGATCGGGTCGAACTTCAATCAAACGAAAACGCGATTAAGTTAACGCCTTTCTGGCAATTTACAGTAATCTCTGGATATTTGGTCGCATTTATCTACGGATACATGGCCGCGAGAAATTCTTACTAATTTTTGGAAATGCTCGCTCGATGCAAGCCTCCCGTCTTATCTATATTCATCTCTCTATATTGAGGACTTAGTTTCACACTTATAACGATTACTCGCATATACTCATAACATATACGCAGAGAATATTGGAGTTACAATAAAATTGTACATAACTTCATTTGTAGGTGATAGTAATACCTACAAACTTTAAAACATTTTTTGTTAGGATCAATAATTAACGAATTATTAACAGTAAACTGTTATTAATAATAAACTAGAAAATTCTATACTGAGAAATCAATTTGACAGCAATGACAATTACTCATAAAATACAGAATGTCCCAGAACTCGTGGTACATTTTTTAACACGTTGAATGACACGGGGGTCACCGGTGACCGGCACTCAACTTGGCAGTGACGCCATGGGGGCCACCGGTGACCGGCGCGCCCAGATTGATAGAAATATATATAATTGAAACAAATGACAATACTTCGCGAAATCGCACTCCAACGCCACGGGGGTCACCGGTGATCCCGTCGCAATTAATATGTCAAACATTGTTATACACTGTAACTTATCTATTGCAGATAATATTTCAACATTATATGTATCGCATAATAGAAAATTCATCGTGGCGCCACGGACAATCCCTATAAAATTGGCGTGGCATTCAACGTGTTAATGAAAGGTTCCTGAAGTGATTTTAAACAATTCTTTATAAAAAAAATTATGCGTTACCACGCCCGTATAGCACGTAGAACGTAGGATTGAAACAAAAGTTACATGCAAGAGCAACTAAGAAATTGATTAAATATCAGAGAAAAGAAAGCAATTAGTCGTTAGTTATGTTCACTGAATAGATGCATGTATTTAATGAAACAATTGAAAACTTTATAAATTACACAGTAGGTAAAGT